AACACTGGTGATAAGGATGCTCACAGAACTGGTTGAATTTGGTTGCAAATTAGATGAAAAAATGAAGGCTATGCTAAGTGAAATAAAGGAAAATGTACAGGGAACCAATAGTGATGGGAAGAAAACTGGGACTCAAATCAATGGAATGGACCAAACGGAAGAAAGAAACAATCAAACAGAAAAGAATGAAGAAACAAGAATTCAAAAAAATGAGGCGAGGCTTAGGAACCTTCAGGACATCTTTAAACATTCCAACATCCGAATTATAGGGGTACCAGAAGGGGAAGAGGAAGAGCAACAAGTGGAAAACTTATTTGAACAAATAATAAAGGAGAACTTCCCCAATCTGGCAAAGGAAATAGACTTCCAGGAAGCTCAGAGAGTCCCAAAGAAGTTGGACCCAAGGAGGAACACACCAAGGCACATCATCATTACATTACCCAAGATTAAAATGAAGGAGAGAATCCTAGAAGCAGCAAGAGAAAAGAAGACAGTTACCTACAAAGGAGTTTCTATAAGACTGTCAGCTGATTTCTCAAGAGACCTTACAGGCAAGAAGGGGGCTGGAAAGAACTATTCCAAGTCATGAAAGGCAAGGACCTACTTCCAAGATTGCTCTATCCAGCAAAGCTTTCATTTAGAATGGAAGGGCAGATAAAGTGCTTCTCAGATAAGGTCAAGTTAAAGGAGTTCATCATCACCAAGCCCTTATTATATGAAATGTTAAAGGAATTTATCTAAAAAAAAGAAGATGATCAAAAATATGAACAGTAAAATGACAGCAAACTCAGTTATTAACAACCACACCTAAAATAAAAGCAAACTAAGCAAACAACTACAACAGGAACAGAACCACAGAAATGGAGATCACATGGAGGGTTAGCAAAAGGGGGAGTAGGAGGAGAAGAGAGGGGGAAAAGGTACAGAGAATAAGCAGCATAAATGGTAGGTAGAAAATAGACAGGGGGAGGGTAAGAATAGTATGGGAAATGCAGAAGCTAAAGAACTTATGACACATGGACATGAACTAAAGGGGGGGGATGTAGGTGGGAGAGGGTATGCAGGGTGGAGGGGAATGAAGGGGGAAAATGGGACAACTGTAATAGCATAATCAATAAAATATATTTTTTTAAAAATCAATAAAATTGCTTTTGACCTAAAAAAAGTAAATAAGAATAAAAAAATTAAAATTAAAAAATAAAAAATAAAAGTGAGGGGGGTCTCAAATAAACAACTTACCTTACACCTCAAGTAACTAGAAAAAGAGACACAAACTAAGCCCAAAGTTAGCAGAAGAGAGGAAATAAAGATTTCAGTAGAAATAAAAGATAATAGAAAAAGCATAGCTAAAAATCAACAAAAGTGTTGGGGTTTGAAAAAATCAGTAATTTTTTTTAAATTATCCTAAACAAGAGAAAAAGACTCAAATAAATGAAATAAGAAATGAAAAAGGACAGAGTATAAATGATGCCACAGAAATAAAGGGATCATAGAGGTCAGTTATTTGCCAACAAATGGGATAATATAGAATAGGTAAATTCCTAGAAACAAAACCTACCAGGACTGAACCATGAAAAAACAGAAAATATGAACAGACCTATAACTAGTAAGGAAATCTCAGTAATCAAAAACCTACCAACAAAGAAAAGTACAGCCCAGACTGTTTCACAGGAGAATTCTAACAAACATTTAAAGAAAAATTAATATAAATCGTTTATAAACTCTTTCTAAAAATCAAAGAGAAGGGAACATTTCTAAACTCATTTATGAAGACAATATTACCATGATGCCAAAGTCAGACAAAGGTACTATGAGAAAAACCACCAAAAACTGCAGGTCTTTAACTCTAATGAATACAGATGCAAAAATCCTCAACAAAATTCTAGGAAAAAAATTAAACAGCACATTAAAAGTATTATACATACCATGACCAAGTGGAATTTATCCATAGACTGCAGGGATGATTCAACATGTGAATACACATCAATGTGGCACACCATATTAACACAATGGAGGGAAAAACATCACATGATCATCTCAATAGACGCAGAAAATACTCATGACAAATTCAACACCATTACATGATAAGAACACTCAACACACAGGAACAGAAGGAAATTACCGCAACATAATATAGGCTATGTATGAAAAGCCCATAGCTAACATCATACTCCATTGTGAAAACTAAAAACTTTTCCTCTAAGGATTATGAACAAATGCAAGAATGCCCACTCTCAATGCTTCTATTCAACATAATATTGAAAGTCCTAACCAGAACAATTAGGCGACAAAAAGAAATAAAAGGCATCTAAGTCAAAAAGAACTAAAATTACCTCTGTTCACTAGAAAACTCAAAAGAGTCCACAAAAATAAACAACAACAAAAAAACCCTACTAGAACTAATGAGCAAATTTCGCAAAGCTGCAGGATATAAAATCAAATACAAAAATTAGTTACGTTTCTATACACAAATAACAAATAATCCAAAAGGAAACTGAGAAAAGAATCCCATTTATAATAGCATCAAAAAGAATAAAATAACAAAAATAAACTTAACCAAGGAGGCAAAAAACATGCACAGTAAAAACTACAAGACATTGCTGAAAGAAATTAAAGAAACAAATAAATAGAAAGACAACGTGTTCATGGATTGAAATACCTGATATTACTACTATGCCATACTACCCAAAGCGACCTAATATTCAATGTGATTCCCCATCAAAATCCCAATGGCATTTTTTGCAGAAATAGAAAAAAAATGCTCAATTTCATATGGAACCGCAAAGGACCTTGAATAGGCAAAACAATCTTGAAAAATAAAAAAAAGAAGAAAGGTGGAGGCCTCACACTTCCTGACTTCCAAAACACTTTACAAAGTAATCAAAACAGTATGGTACTAGCATAAATGCAGGCATATAGACCAATGGAACAGAATAGAAAGCCCAGAAATGAACCCACACGTATAGGTCAAATGATCTTTGACAAGGATGCCAAGTCTACATAACAGGGAAAGGATAGCCTGTTTAACAAATTGTGCAGGATAAGCTGGATATGTACATGTAAAAGACTGGAGGTTGGACCCTCATCTTATACTATACACTAAAATTAACTCAAAATGGGTTAAAGACAAATATAAGATCTGAAACTAAAATTCCTAGAAAAAGCTACACAACACTGGTCTTGGAAATGATTTCTTGGATATAATGCCAGAAGTACAGACAACGAAAGTAAAAATGGCAAGTGGGACTACATTAAACTAAAAATCTTCTGTAAAGCAAAGCAAACAATCAACAGAGTGAAAAGGCAACATACAGGACAAAATATTTGCAAACCATATGTGATAGGAGTGAATATCCAAAATATGTAAAGTCCTACAGTTCAATAGCAAAAAAGTAAACAACCCAATTTAAAAATGGTAAAGGACCTGAATAGATATTTTTCCAAAAAAGACATACAAATGATCAACAGTCTTATGAAAAAATGCTCAACATTATTAATCATCATGATAATGTAAACCAAAACCACGAGATATCATCTACCTGTTAGGATGGCCATTATATTTAAAAACAAGACAATAATAAAACCCTAAAAAACAGAAAATAACAAATGTTGGTAAGGATAAGGAGAGTATAGGATCCCTGTGCATTATTGGTGGGAATGTAAAATGAAGCAGCCACTATGGAAAAAGAGTAAGGAAGTTCTCAAAAAATTAAAAATAGAACTAATATATGATCCAGCAATCCCATTTCTGGGTATTTATCCAAAACAATGGAAAGCAGGGCCTTAAAAGAAATTTGCAATTCCATGTTTACTGCACTTAAAGTAATCAAACTTTCAGAAGCAGAAAGTATGATGGTTGCCAGAGGCTGGCCAGAGGGGAAAAAGGAAAGTTGCTGTTCGGTGGATACAATGTTTCCATTATGTAAGACGAAAAAGTTCTAAAGATCTGCTGTACAAACACTGTGCATATAGTTAACAAAACTATACACTTAAAATTTCATATTATGCTTATGTTTTCATATTATTCTTTTTTAACCACAATTTTTTTAAAAAGGGAATGTACAGGAGAATATTTGGAAGCAGAAGGATGTGCATGGGGAGAAATGGTTGGACTAGGAGAGGAATCCAAGTACATGGGCTCTGAACCTATTCAAAGAACTGAAATAAGTCCATTACAACTTAGACATGGTGAGCAATAAGGAGAATAACAATAGATAAAAACTAAAAATGTAGCAGGGACCTACAGCCATGTTAAAAGATTTGACTTTTATCCTAAAAACAATGGAAAATTCTAAATGGTTTTAAGTAAGAGAATAACAATCTGATTAATGTTTGAAAATGATCATTCTTTTAACAGTCTTGCTTTTCTCTGTATTAAATTAATAGAATTAGGAAAAATCTCAAAAAAAAAAAAAACATGGACAAAATTCCAGAAATATCTAGAATGTAGATTTAAGGCAAAACTACATTAAAATAGAAATTAATACAGTTTCTGGTTCTACAACAAATACAGGTCAAATAATCTGAACCAAATGTGAGTTCAACACAGGTTCTCTACAGAAATTTAGTAAAGTCTGTCTAAAAAAATTAAAAAGGCAGGCATACACTTTGAGTTTCCTTTGAAAGGATAGAACTGAAGCAGAAATATGTCTCATTTTCTCTGTTTCATAAACCATAGTATGAAAAGTAAGTGAGCTTCAGCTATAAAGTCAGATATGCAGTGTACCTAATAATTCCGAAGTTTTTTCAAGGTCCTAGATATTTGACTTGCATCTGTCCTAAAACAGCATTCCATACAAGTGGAACAAAATAATTATTCTCAAACTTACCTCACCCTCAACATAGCATTTAAAAATAGAGCACAATAATGTATATGGGAAAATAGTTTCAATTTGCCTTTGTTCCCTTGTTGGCAGTCAACACAAAAGAAAAAATATAAACTAAATGTTTACCTAATAAATTGTTTATTTACAAAGGCTTTATGGTAGGAAAAACCTTACCAACAGTACAGCTGTCTTCAAGAACCACATCAACATTTCTGTCTCTGTACTCAACCCTGAAGTCCAGCATCCGAGGTTGCCTTTCTACAATCTGCCTAGATGGCACTACAGGTCGAAATGCCGATGAGGAAGAGGGAGCAGGAGCTGGAACTGGATGACTTGCTGAATCAAATACAGGTCCTGGTATAGTTTCACCTCCATAGTCACTGAAATATTGACATAAAAGAAGGATTACCATCAACCACATCATTACAGATTATCGCTAAGGACCTGCTCCATACTTGGTTTGTGTTGTTCTTCCTATCACATTTACCCACCTGTGCATCAAGGCCTAACCTTAGGTTCTTCCACCACAAAATCTTTCCATGTAACTGAAGGCCACATCCCATCCTTGCTTTTCTTTGTCTATCAGCAGTATCATACATATCATTTAGCATTTAATTACATTTTTGCTTCATATTGTTATGATGTTGGTATAACATTTTAAACTCTGAGAATCAGAACAGTATCTTTACTCATTCTCAAATGACTACTTTGATTCATTAACTCTAGTTTTCACAATTTTGAAACTTCACCTTCCTTAAACCTCTATTCTCCCCATCTCACTCCTCAGTCTTAAAAAGATATTTTTTCCTACTTTGCAAAGAAAACAGATGCCATCAAGAGAAAATTCCCTTACCCTTTTCACAAAAAATCCACAAACTAACCCACATATGCACTCTCTCTCTTTTTATGAAATAGAGAAGACTGATCTATCTACGCAGAAATTTAAAAGTCTTCTCATTAGTTTTATTTATAGATTATTATCCCTTCCTTTTCCAGTATCTTTAACATCTCCTTCTCTTCTGGATTCTTCGCAAAAACATTTAAACATGTTGAAATGATTTCCCTTCTTCAAAAATAAAAATGAAATCCTGGTTCTGAGAAAATTAATCATATTTGTAAAGATCAAATCAGACAAAGTATACGAAAAGCTCAGCACAGTGTCTGGTACTTAGTAAGAGCTTAGACTCAGTATATTCAGTTTTAATTCATTAATGTTTCCCCAACCTTGACCCTCCTCCATTATTCCTCATATCAGTTCCCCAGGCCAGAAACTTCTGACATTATCTTTGACCCCTTCTTCTCTCTCAACTGCCAAATCTAATCAGTCCTTTCAATGTTACCTTCTAAATATCTTTTAGATAAGTCATCCACCTTTAACCTCTGAAGCTACCACCCTTGTCTAAGGCACACTCACTTTTTATATAAACGAATGTAAAAGCATCCTAACTAATCTCCCCTGCATTTTATTCCATTTCACCACTAGACTGAAATTAATGACAGAAATGTCTTCTTATCATTTTCTTCAATACTCTCCTCTGCTTTGCATATAAATAGGTAAAGTGGCATACAAGGGCTTGTATGATCTGAATCCTATCTCCCTTCCCATTCTCATCTCCTGCTATGCTATCTCCATCTCACTACGCTAATAGCCACAACAGCCTCTGTCCTGCTGAATCCTGTTTTATGGGGGGACACAGACTTACTTCTAAGACTATTCTTTCCTTTCCATCTCATCCCCTAAATTCCATGTTTTTTCTAGCAAATTATATTTATCCTTTACATCTCAAACTGGATGTTTATCAACTCAGAGCACATTTTACTATCTCAGACTAGTTCAAATTCCTTACTACTATCAACAACTATACATTTAGTTGCATAATTAATCATTTGACATTAAGTCCCCACTAGAATCTAAGTTCCACAAGGGAAAAGCTGACATTTGTGTTTTTAATGGCTGTATCTTTTGCCCTGATCTCAAGATTTTATATCTAGAAAGTACTCAAATATCTGCCAAACTAATGAATAGAAGAAGAATAATTAAAGAATTTGGTTTTTCTCTAACTTAATGTATCATATATTGTCACTTTTTTTGCCCTCACTTGGAAAAGTAGGAATGAAGAGAACATATGGAATGCTTCTATTGAAACATCATATATATATTCTGCTATCACCACCAGAACTACAAAGCTCAGTCTAAAACTTTCTTCTCTCCCAGAATTCAAGGAAAAACAATGAACTGAAAACCAGAATAGAAATAACAAAAAGAATGTCCAAAACATGCCAAGTTAAGCACTGTTCATACAATTTACATTTACTTCACAACACTGCTTTAATCAGTGTTTACCAAATTATAGATTATATCATTGATTTAGTGAATTGTGATCAGTCTCTTAAAGAATGGAATGGGAATGGGAATGGAATGGAATGGAATGGACTATCAGTATGGACTAACAGTCAGGACCAAATACTATTTAATAAAACTTTTTATTATGATACATATTTATATGTGTGTATTTTGGATTATGAGTATTTCTCATTGTAGATTATAGTCAAAAAAGTTTGAAAGTAACTAACTGAGATCTCGCCAGAGTTCAGATGCTATAGTAATCACTGATCCACAAAAATATATTCTTCCTCCCAGTTGTTAGATTCAAGGAAAACAATCTTCGAAGGAAGACATGGGAACAAAGAAAATGTCCAAAGCAGGCAAGAATATCCAAAGAATATCCTGTGGGAATCCAAAGTGAGCTCCTAAGTATCTATGAACAGAATCTGTGCAATGATACTTCACATCTTTGAATTTTGTCACAACTTCTCAGAACCTAAGAAAAACAGCTGAAGTTAGTAGGCTGGTCATTGACTTACTGTTTTCTTAACTCCAAATTCCCCATTCTATAGTATTCTGTGATAGTGGGGCTAGGATTTCGCAAAATTGTATACAGGGTGGGGCAAAAGCAGGTTTACAGTTGTGAGTATACGAAACAGTGTATTCATGCGTTATTTATTAATTATTGTATTATTTTTCATACTAACTATAAACCTACTTTTGCCCCACCCTGTTTTGTTTCCTGATAAGATTCTGCCTATAGGGTACAGGTGGCAAACGCAAGGCTTGAGGGCCCAATTCTGCCCTCCACCTTGTTTTATCCAGCCTGGCACCTTGTTTCTACCCAGCAGCACCGCTGAGCTCTCATGTAACTGTTAAGGAGCAGTTATATTTATACAGTCCTAAAATTATATTCGGCCCTTTGAAGGCAATCATGAGGCTGATGTGGCCCCCAGTGAAAACCAGTCTGACACCCCTGCTAGGGGATACTAGATAAAGATTAGTAATTAGGAAAAGAGGAGAAACAACTTCCTTCTTCCTGTTTGCATGCATTTTTATCAGCTTCACCCCGTAGCTTTGTCTCCTGCTTTGTTTTCAGCATTCTTATAACCAACTTCTTGACATACCCTGAGAGATACCAGGAGTAGCTAGACAGTATGCACTCCAGAGGTCTAATCCTCAGTGTCAAGGGTTCCCTGGGAGTTCAAAATCCCTTTTTGTTAATCCCTTTTTCCCCTGGATCTAAGAATGGTAACTTCCTGAAGCACTTTTTTTTTCTCATTTAGTCTTCCACACCTATTTAACCAATCCTTCATTAAATTTCCTCTGATGAAATACCCTAGTGTGGTTTCATTTTCTTGATAATGGTGGTGTTCCAGGAATCAGGAGATTTAGGCATTGGCTTGATTATGTCCTCAGCCTTCAATGCATGGCTGAGCACCACATCAATGAAAAATAGGATACTAGTGATCCAAGACATAGCAGGCATAATGATTAATTAAATTATCACTTGTAGATAATTATGATCACATGCACCTTTTGAAACAAGTGCCTAAGGGAACCAAATGATGGTCTGACTTGACCGTTATGGTGGTAATAATGATAACAAGGACTATGGCTGGCTGCCTCTGACTCTAAGGGAGAGCTTACAAATGAAAATGGCATATTTAAGGTTTTTAACTTTCAATTCAAGTCATGGTAAGAAAGCTACAGAGCTTCTGAAGTGGTCCTTTAAAAAGTTTCTTATTTCTTTTTTTTTTTTTTTTAGTTGTAATTACCTTATTATCTTCTTGGTTTCTCAGCAGTTAAATAATCTTTCTTAATATTTCCAGGAGAGCACACCATTTTTATTTTGAAAAACATCCAACATATTTGTCTTACATGATATGCAAAGGAAATATCTAAATTTTTAAATTCCTTCCAATGCTCATTCATGTGTAGTATTTCATTACACAAGTTATTTCATAAACACTGAAAACAATGTAAGAAACATCTACATCTAAGAATTCTAGTTTTTATAGTCCTTCATCAAATAGTACTATTTTCAGATACATTTTCAGACATTCTTGCCTCTATGTATTTTGATGTGTATAATATAACCACTAGAAGAATCTGAGCCCCTTGGAGGATGGCAGTGGAAACCCATCTCCACTGGAGTAAAGATCTGTCTTTAAAAAGTAGATTGTATTACCATTTTGATTGCATTCCTTTTAGTTATTTGAGATTCTAAGAACTCTGGTAAGCCCAGAGGTGAAAAGATCTCTTAATAAGCTTTAGAAGGAAGGAAAGGTAAGGAAAGCAGGGCTAGGACTTGGCACATTCACTAAGAATGAAGCACCTAAGAACAGCTTATAGTAAAGTACCAGGGCAGAGTTACTACTGAACTCCTCAGGATGATGAAGCATCCACTCCCTGCAGGAGTAATAACAGCTGATTTGGTGGCTGTGATTGGTCATCTTTTAGGAGTACTGCAATCCAGAGACCCCCATTTGGGCTTGACAAATACTCTGTGTAAGGAAATGATGGTCCATCCTTATCAGTAGGGCAGGGATTATGCTTCTCTCTGTGTTCAAGATCTTTTAGATCTTTTCTTGCTAAGTGCTTTCAGTATATTCTTGATGATCTTAGACTCTGGATTCAGACGTCTTTTTTCCCCGTTCTTTTTCACTGTGGCAATGATCTCAACATGTGGACAGGACTAGCTTAAAGAAATCATTTCAAGTTTTTCTAAGGAACTTGGGCTAACAGGTTTATCACTAATACTGATGCAGGTATAGCGTGTAGTTCTAGAGACAGGTATTCCTTGAGCTTCACTAAGAGTCAGAAGGATAAGGCAGAAAATAAGAGAGCATTTTGATTCATGGTGCTGTGATTGGAGGTTCCTCTGCAGTAGGTTCAGAATGTCTAAGCAGTTGAGGAATGCCTGAGAAAAGTTTCTTATTTCTGTAACCACGAGCATGATCCTGCTGAGAATTTGATCCAAAATTTAATTTTGCAGCTTGCATAATTGCAATGAAATTTGAATATACAACTTTCTAAGTCTCTTTTGTAAAA